TATAAGAACATAAGAATGGAGGAAACTGCAGCGGGTCTATTGGCCCGTACTGGGCAGTCTCATTTACACCAAACCCCTATTGCTCATATATTCATCCAACCTATGTTTGAAGCTATCCAGCCTATTCGAGTTAATGATGATATTTGGTAACTTGTTCCACTCGTCTACTACTCTATTTCCAAACCAATGTTTACCTATTTCGCGCCTAAATCTAACTTTTTCTAATTTAAAACCATTGTTACGAGTTCGCTCCTGGTACCTTTGTAATGTCCCCTTTGATCAGGCCCTGACTTCCATTTAAACACCTCTATCATATCGCCCCTCACTCTACATCTCTCGAGGGAGTGCAAATTAAGATACCTGTACTTTAACCTGTCTCTGTACTCAAGGTTCCTATTGACCGGGATTAGTCTTGTCATTCTCCTCTGAATTCTTTCCAAAGATTCTATATCCGAGCACACTGCCACACAATCATATTCAGCCTGTATAGAAGCCCAATAAGCAAATATCAAGTATTATTATAGGAAAAGTCTAGGGTTAGCACACACCCATTATAGAACTCCTGAGATTCTAACCTGTCCAGTACAGTAGCTACAATTAACCTACCTACCACTCTACAGTATATGTGTGTGCATGATATTAAATCATAGTTATAGGAAATGAAAACAGTTTTGAAAGATGATAAGAAGAAATACAAATTTAAACAACAAGCTTGATAAACAAAATAAAAAGTGATAAAGAAATACTGTAGTGTACTTCAAATACAATTAACCTCCAGTACATTAGTATAGTGTATGCTGTAGATGGTTCAAGTCTGCTGGAGCACATGCATAGGTTTTTGCACTGAGTGACCCTGACAGGTTCAAACAGCTCATTTAGTATGCATAGTGAAGTGACGAGGAAGTGTTGTAATCAATGTTAAGGGTAAGGATGCACCCCCAATAGTTATGCAATACGTTCTCCACTACCCAGTTGTCTGTTAAGAGCGAGTCACCAATAACCAGATTTTTTGAGATCCACAAAAGACAGAGACTAAGAAGTGAGAGATCCTGCTCGATTTTCTTTTTTTTAGACACTACCACACAGGGATCTAACTTGGTCAATGTATTACAGTATATAATAGTGAGCCATTAAACTAGGGGCCATTATGTGGGGCCCCATCTCCAAACATGACCCAATTTTAATGGAAAATAAAGATTAAGCCCAAAGCCTAGGGTGCCAATAAATCTAATGACCAATCAGCTCCAAGGTTTAAGAAGGCTCAATTTCAATGGAAAATTAATAGATATTGATTTTAACCCCAGTTTACTCTATGAACACAAAATATCTGTAGTGTCTATGTATACTGTATCCCCCCCAAATTCTGAAATAAATATGTTAGGCCTCACCATTTCCTCCAATATGTCCTGGAAATCACACATCCTTAGTATAACTAAAGCTGCCTCCCGAAAGTTGGGAATGCTGTACAGATGCCGCAGCTACTTCACTCCTGAGCAGTTGCTCCAAGTATATAAGGGATTCATTCGTCCTAACTTGGAGTACTGCTCTCATATCTGGGGTGGCTCTTCTTCTGTCCAACTATTAGATAGGGTGGATCAAAGGCATTTCGTCTTATTAACTCTCCTCCTTTAGTCGACAATCTCTCTCCCCTTTCTCTTCGCCGCAATGTTGCTTCACTCTCTCTCTTTTACAGGTACTTTAACGGGCAATGTTCAGGGGATTTGGCATCCTGTGTACCGCCGGTAAGGCCATTTCTCTGTGGATATCGGTCACACGAGAATAACCCGTTATAGTACCTCCTTCTTTCCTCACACAGCCAAACTGTGGACTGCTTTGCCTTCTTCTGTGTTTCCATGCTCTTACAATCTGTCTCACTTTAAAAAGCTGGTTTTCCGGCATCTTCGTGGTGTAGATTAATACAGTATAACCTTTTTTCTATATTTTCAATTTCTTTCCGTTCTTTTTTTTCGCCCGCCAGGCTCCGTTGTGGGTCGTTTGACCTGTGCCCGGGTTGGCTAATTCCCGTAAAAAAAAAAAAAAAAAAAATACTGTGTACATATATGCTGAATCAATTTAAACTTGTATGACTACTTTACTAAATATCCATCCATCTATCTAATAAAGTTATATCTGCAGCAATGAGATGAGCATGGAATCTGCAGCAGTAACTATAGTAAGTGAACTTGTGGTGTACCCAGTCCAGTAGATGGTACAGTTGTGGAAATGTGTTCCTACACCCCGTGGTAACCAGTGTCTCCAAACAGCACTGTCGCAGTAGTATTAGTATCACTATTTATGAATCACTCTGTATTGGTTGTGTAAAGACGGATGTGATTGGTGGATAGGTTTGCTATAGGTCATATAGGTTGGCCGTTTGGAGACTCGGGTTACCACAAGGGGTGTAGGAGCACATTTCCACAACTGTACCAGCAGAATTATACACCGTGGGAATCTTTGGGAACACAGTGTACAATATCAATGCGAATAATAAAAAATGTCCGCCAAAATTATGAACGACCCCTCAACCACCTGGGCCAATAAACTGTGCGTACTGTATTACTTACTACCTGTCCACCTTCAGAAGTCACAGGTGTCGTCATGGGCATTCAGATGATGTAGCTACCAATTGCTAAAGTGGTCAATCTCTTTTTTGAAGTAGGAGGAATCAAGCAAGAGTTGAGCGACTGAACAATATACGTAAACAAAGACGTCAAAAGTAATAATAACGCCTCTCCATTCCTGGTGGCCAAAGGGGCAATAATCACACTCGCTCCATAGGCAAGATGGAGCTCTAAATTCCCCTCTGAAAAGTAGACAACAACTGCTGGTATTCATGATACATATTAAAATTACTAACTCCAAAAGCCTTCCCACTACAGAATACAGAAGCTTTAATAATTCTGGGTAGCTAAATATACTGTGGTTCACAATACAGGACGACACACTCACTCCCAGGCTCATGTAGGCACCTAACACTATTCTCTCTAGATACCCTGTTTTTACATCCTGGACAGCTACAAGCATGGAGCCAAATATTTTATATTCAGACACATCCAACCGATATCATTCCTTCTCCAGATACTAAACTTTGAGAATTTTGCAATCCTCTGCCCTAAATTCCCTGTTATCTCCAGCCACACTCAGAAAATGAACAATCTGGTGAGCTCCAGCAGACAGTTTCTATGTGTGTTCTCAGCCAAGTGCTGTGTGGAAAAGGTAAATAAAATTCAGACTTTACAGTTTGCCAAAACAAAAAAAGAAACAGAGATTGGTACAAAATTATAAATTATATGTGTTTCCAATAATTATCCCTATACTGTTTAAGTAAATTTAATTAGTTTTAGAGGTTGACTTATAAATGAACTCCAATGGCTGTGTAGACCTATATTTTTCAGATGGTCTAAAAGCACAATTTATGCAATAGTTTACATACTGTAATTACAAAACCAATGAAGGACTGATAACTGTTCCATACACTCACAGTTGATTTCTCATGTGGTCATCATTGGGATGGTAACTTTTTCATACTGCATATACCAGTACAGTACAGTAGCTACACATCTGAAGGTTGGTTCAATCACTTAAATACTGTATAGTATAGTACTCTGGCCAAAGGAATAAAAAATAAATAAAACACTGAATTATAGTCCTGTAGTTATGCAAAAATTCCCGCTGTCATCTTTGAGAGATCTAACTGAAAATATTGTGGTTAAAAATAAAGAATGATTCAAAATGCACACATGTCAAAATTTTCCAACTGATACAGTATTCAATAAGATACATTCTGAAATAATTACATGAAAAGATACAAAATTCACCAAATATATAAAAACAAGTGAAAACAACATATGTGGTATAGACATTAATATGCAAGATACACTGTAACGCTTGGGAGTAAAAAAGGAACAATATTACCTTCGCATGGGGTGGCTTGGGGTGGGTTTTCAGCAGGAAGGGGTTAAGTAACGGTAGCAACTTACAACTCACAGTAACGTTTCAACCAATCAGTGAAATTCCATTGTGGAGTTGTAGAATTGACATCAAAGAATAATCATTCAAAATACTGTAGTACAGTATTTCTGTAGGGGACAAGGAATCACAGATAAAAAGGGAATTACGGAGAAAAAAAAACATAAAAGATACAAATATGAGGAGTTCCACTGAGGGAAAAAATGGAGTCCAATCAAGCGTACGAGATAACACTTGCAACACATGTAATCACGGGCCATAACTCAACAACACTAAGCACCATCACTCTGAACATTTAACTAAGCCTTTTTGTTGCAGCAAGTTATAGTGACACAGAAAGTAAGAAAATCATGGTGACAAGGTAAAGCTCAAGTTATTGGACGCAAATGAAAAACTGAACAGACAGATGGCTGGACACATCATCATAGCAAGCCCTGGAATTTATGGACTAAAAAATATTATGTAATGTAGGTATATGCTGCAGTAGTACCCAAGTAGTAAATTTTTAGTAATGAAATAAAATGTTAAGAATAAAAACGTTTCCTTGCTTTCTTTTTTCAACAAAAGTAAAAAGCTTCTACAGATAATGAATAATACATCAAAACCTTTTAAAGCAATGCACAGGAGTAAGTCTAACCAGTTTTAAAAATATGAAAACTTAAAATAACAGTTCACAAAGCAAAGCATTAACTACTGTACCGCACATCAATTTCTCACACCTCTGTACAGTACGGCACCGTGTGTACTGTACTCATTCTTTTAAAAATGCTGTACCCTGTACTGCAATTTCTCACACAGAACGTCAAGTGTCAGGTATAATGTACTACTGCCATGTATGATGAGCAAGGATATTTCTCAATCACATTCCTCTCATCCGTAATTGAAGTGCTTGTTGAAGATTTTGCACATGCCATCATGCTTGAAGTACAAGAGACAATCTTAATTTCATAGAAAGACAAAGTTTAAAATTCTACATTGAACTTAGCTGAAATATGTAAAATGATGCTGGGAGTTCCCCCTCTCAATCATACCTGGTTTGATTCCTGCATGAAAGGAAAAACTGTCAGAGATGTGTCCTGAGTCCTGTTTTTCCTGTCATATGAAGCAATACATAGGTTCTGAAGATATATGGTAGCTCGGCATATCACTCCAAGTCACAGCTATCCTGTGAAACAATTACAGTGTCCGCAACAAAGGAAACCTCCAAGAACTGCATTGTACAATACAGTACACGATAAATAGTTTCAACAGTGTAGTTAATCTGACCAGCTGTAGAGAACATAAACCCCAGACTGAGGAAGCACTCAGCCTGGTAGAGGAGACAACTGGGGCTGAGATATGTACCAAGATCCCAATGTATCACACTAAAATTCCTTTAAACTCCCTACAAGACCGTTCATCTTTTCCTTGACATTTTTGACTGAACCTTCCTGAAAAGAAAAATCACTGTTAATACCCTCACTGTCCACCTCCTGACCTACCCACCACCCAAAATTGCTTATCTGTCCTGTCCACCATACCTTGCTTGCCCTGCTTGGAACTTGGATACAATTATACCTATTGGTGTTATAATTTAAATGAAACAAATATCTTAAACATCTTTAACCCCTTCACTATGGGATGCCATACATGGGTGAATCAAAGAGTGAAAATCCCTGGACTGGTTGGATTTAATATACAGTATAGTATATCAGTACCTACAGTATACACTGTATACAATTACAGTATTCTGTACTGTACATATAAAATACTGTATTGCACAGTACCAGTACCTGAAAAGGTTATACCATATCTACTACAGTATTAAAAATATGGATCTACAGTATTTTGTTTCATACACACAAATAACAATCAGGTAAAATCTTTGATGATCCAAAGGACTACCAGCTAATTACTGTACGCCATCCTCACCATCACTCCCCTAATACAGTATTGTAGTGCACTGTATATGTATTCACAAATATATACTGTATGGCACAGTTATAGCCGACACAAAATTCATGACCAAGTGTTCTATAAACACACTGAATCAAAAAACAATCCAGCTGCCCTTTAATGCTTCCAATTAAACAAGGAATATGCTTCATGTTTTTACATTAACCTCAATATTGTGTGTTCCAGAAACACCCATAAATGAAGGATTGATCCATAAAACCCATTTTATACCTGAAGCTGAAGGTAAATACTGTAATTTATATATTTTGGTCACCTTACCTTTGGGTTGAGACCCAAGAAACCCTTCAACAACAAAGGCCAGGACTAAATCATGAATAAGTTAGCCACAACGTTCTGTCACAATGAAGTCTCCCAAAAAAAGGTAAGGAGTCATGATGTCACCCTTCACAAAACTGGCTACTGTACAGTGTAAGGATTAGCATCCAGAAACAAACCCATTCAGTTTAGCTGACTTCTATACTACCCCTTGTCAGCTGGGGAGGTAGCTGGACCATTTCGCTCAAGTTGGTCCATGAAATGGTATTTCAAGAACAATCCTTCATTTTTGGCTTAATACCTTCTCAAGCAACTCGTATATGGATACCACATTTAATACAATATTTTATTTGGCTAACGTCAGACGATTTCATTCAGCAGAGAAGGTACCCCATACACAAATGGTTAAGAGACCAAGCCCACCTGACCTAACCACCTTAGTGAGTCTATATGCCCCCACCTTGGGACCCAGCTGGTGATTGAGAGAATTACTCTTCCTGCCTCTGACAACCAAAACTAACTGGATTTTGTCAACTGATTGATTTAGTAAAATCATCATGCACGTTAACAATTGATTCAGCGTGTATTATAGACCATGCAGGAATACAGTACACAGGCAGAGCAGGTAACAGTACTGTACAGAATACTGTACAGTATATATAATTTCCATTATACCTAGACAGTGCAGGTATACAAACAATGGTATCAGGAAAACCAACAAAGCCATCAGATGATAACAGTATTTCCAGTAGAATGTTAGAATTGTGAATAAATGACTGAATTTACTGTGCCGTACTTACAAAACCACAAGTACCGGTAGGCCACAGCATCTACTCACTGGCTAATTGACAAAAGACACAATAAACTGCCTGATTTTAGCAGGAACAAACCACAGTGAGATATATATATACTATAGCATAGCATTAGTTGCTTTAAGTGGACAGTCTTCTTGCTGTTTCATAAACATATTCAGTCATTTTAATGCAGTTCCAAAGTTGAGAATGTGAAGTACAATGAGTTCAAGCAACAATGTTTTACAGTACTTACTGTATAAACAATATTTCCAGAAGAACTAGTTTACTGGTGCCTCCTATTGTAAAGTATTACCAGGTACAGTACCCTTAAAAAACCTCAAACATCCAGGAGATGGCAGAATGGGCTGGGTACAGTAGAAATAAAAACACAGTAGTCACTGTACAGTACACCAATTCTGACAATCCTCTGACTGGAGTCGAGTGTCACAGCCATGAAGGGAGATAAAAATATCTGTTATGACAAATCTGGTGGGTGAGAAATAAAAAGATAAGTGCCTGATATAAACTTCAGAAAATGGGAGTAAAAAGTTATATTTGTTACGTTAATTGTGATCCCACAGTCACACTTATGGGGTTAAACCATTAGCTGATGATATCAGATGACAAATCAACCTAATCTAACATGATCAAAAAAGTACCGGCAAGATCACGAGATTAAGTTGATTTATTTTGTTACCGGCAGCCATATTACTGTACAGTACAGTGTTAGTTTACTCATGTACTGTACTGTGTTCACCTTGAGGGATTACCATTTACACAATGGTGATGCTTGATAGGGACAGTTCATAAGATAGATCCCCAGCTGCATTAGTAACTACCGGTACTGTAGCAGTATATATTATTTTAAGATTATACCATACCCACTTTCTCCATTTCTCCTTTTTTATTTACACTATTAATTGAAACAAACATATCTGCAAAAATCCCTTCAACAAAAATCAGGAACTAAGGTTGGAGTCTCTTTCCTTAACTTTTACTCAGGTTAAGTTACAGTAAGATAAAGTTACATGTCATGAAACCACTGGTCTTCACAATATTATATTATTAAGTGATAAAAGCCAATTTAGAACAAGGAATCAACAATAAACAGCCTGGTTACATAAGGTGTAGTAAATTATTAAGGAATTTGTGGGTTAGGACAGATACCAGATATTGAAAAGTTTTTTGGGACCTTAATCCGGCACACTTTAGTCTGACTTCACAGAATCCTGCACCACACTTGTATACAATACCCGGTAAATATGGTCATAGATACAGTACAGTAGCTACAGTATATACAGCAGCTACATGAAAAAAGTCATGAAAATATTGTTGCTGTTTGATATAGTTAAGTGGGCCTGGATTAAACGCAGGTCAATACAGTTATGTTGGCACTTACCTTGAAATGTTGTTTAACCTTTCTTGTTTTAAACACTTGAATACCACTACAGGGACTCCCCGACTTACGACGGGGTTAGGGACCGACATCCAGGTCGAAAGTCGGAAATACTTAAATAACACATAGAAAATCGAAAATTTGGGTCTCTTTTTCTTCTCAACACCACAAAACACTCACTTTTAAGCTTGCCAGCCATTTTAAAGTGAATTATAAATGAAAATTTTGTCTGTGTACTGACTTTGGGACTCAAAAATACATAATTTGACCACATTTTGGTACGACTGAGGCGGTCGTAAGTGCGGGTGGACGTAAGTCAAGTCGGTCATAAGTCGGGGACTACCTGTACTTCCATCTTTCAAATCTCCCCTTCCACTGTGCTTTAAGTGGTGTTTTAAAAGCTAAGTTATCATGAAGAAAAACAAACCAAAGAAATTTATATCTCTAAAGAGGATAATTAACTAGAATGTATAGACATATTCTTTGAGGAAATTTTAACTCAAAGACTGTACAGTAATCAGAAAGCAAGGATGTAGTGTCTAGGCAGAGTGTTCATGAAGACAGACATAACCAACCTACCTTTCCTTACTAGAAATATTATTATACCGAGTAAAATTATAAGTTTGGTTGGGTTTTTATTTACATTTTCACCCCTTAATAATGTACCAGGTGTTTGGGCAGGTGGGCTATTATTTTTTGTTTTATTATGACAGATGCAAACATGAGCATTGTTAGGTTGTTTGGTTTTGTCTGGCATCATTAAATGGCAAATCCAGTAACTACATACCTACCATCACACCCCCATATATGATCTGATATTAACCCTGTAGACAAATTTGGGTTGAAAAAATAATTTATAAAATGGTGCTTTTAGGTTTTGTAAATAGCTACCATGGGAGGTAGCCTGTGTTTTATTTTTCTATTTAGTTTCACTAGGGTTTGTGTGTTAGCTCAAGGACAATAGAAGCAAGGATTTGATGTGTAAGTGTAAATTTTATTGTAAATCCAGTGGTCAGATGAGTGAAAAGGATTTTTTCGGTGTTGGATTTGTATGCTTTTGTAATCAGAGCTGCACTGATTACGCAGGATTTAGGTGTTGCAGACTCAATCAGTACATAGCCATGATCGATCTAGGTACAGGTCTCATGGAGATCAGGAACCCTCGCTTACTGAGTATTTCATGCTTACAATAAATGGGGTGGAGGTGTGTGTGGGGGGGTTAGGTTATCAACTGGGTGTTTAATCATCAGGTGAAATAAGCAGCAGGGATTCTTAATTAATTTTGTTTAAGCTCATCTATGGTAAAAAAAAAATTCAAAAGATAGAACGGAAAATTATAGAGAGAAATTATGGAGGCAAATGCTATGGTTACTGGGAAAACTAAGACAAGAGAGACCTAACCCCTCGAATGTCTGCTCTAGGGTGCCGTCGACGAGGCCATAACCTTTGTCTTTCATCAACCAGTATAAAATAAAAAAATCTACAGGACTTCTTTACACCAATCTACAGTAATATAAGTAACCCAACAAACCTCTTCTATCTACAAACACTAAATTCAATCAGCATAAGAAAATAAAATGGAGACATGGAAGAAGGGAAAGTCTAATGAAAGTTCCAAGTGCCACCTTCAATACATGTATATAGACGTTATGAACTTTTTCCCTTATCTACACTATCATTTATTATGTAAACATGATAAGTTATACAGGTCATGCCTTTGTCCCTGTGTAAGCCTAAGAGAATGGTTCACTGGTCATATAATATAGTCTACTCTGCATACTGAACACAAATTTCTCTCCACATATGATACAAAAATTACTAAAATGTCTTAAATATCATGAAAAGTATATATATATCTTGAAGATGAAATCAGTTGAGAAAAGTTTAAGAAGCTCAGGTGTATAATTAGGATACCTGGTATACGTAGGTAAAATAAATGGGTAGCTATCATTTCTACAAGAGTTGGGGTCACTTTTATTATACATTAGAAATTGTTATAAGTTGATATTTGAGCACCTGATATCTGGTGGGGAATAGATTAGGCTTATATACCCCCTAAGACTAAACTCCCAGGTCCAGTAAGTCTAAAATATGAAGAAACTATTGATATTCCTACACTAGGCAAAGGGTGGAGGGGGTTATTTCTTCACAGAGATGTATAATCGACCTTCTACTTGTACTTTCTATATAGTATGGTGAGGGTAGGGAGGTAGAGAGGCAGGGTAGACTAACACTCTCAGGAACCCAGAGCTCCCGGACCTGTGGAAACCATTGATATTTCTGCTAAGAAGGGTGACTGGCATGTATTATTCCACCACAGCATGAAGGAAGATTCTGCCACATGATATGGGCATGTTTGAGGAGCAGGTAGGGAAGGGTGGGGGTGGGTAAGGTGGGGTAGTGGGCGCCCGACCTCCATCAGCTGTTTTGTACCGTCTACCCATCACTCAACCAGCTCACATTGCCACGCCCTGTACTGCCCATACACCGCCTTTTTCTCTCTATTTTCTCCTTCAGGATACGTAAGGTGCCTAAATGCGGTGAAAGAACAGAGGAAAATCTGACTAGGAGGTGAAATAAACGGGAGGAAGAGGTGTTCATAAGGTAGGGACAAGGCTGAGGGAGGACGGCCATCACGGAATGTTAAGAGTACTTACTGCTTATTTTCATGCCCGGGAAGGAAACTGAAGGTGGTCCTTTGTTTCCTTCAGCAAAGCTTGTAGTCCTGGGTCGTCCACTCATCGTCGAAAAGGTTCAAATAAGGAGGAAACTTACGAAAATCCCGTTTCATTTCACGCGCACGAAAGAATCAGGAGCCCAGCACTGCTAGGCAGGTCCATGTTTCCTGCTATACCACTCTACCTTCCATCTCACTAGACTTATCACTATAATGTACACACTATAAGGGAGCCATAACCCCTAAAATACGCCACAAAGGGCCAATACATTAGTGGTATTTGCCAAAGATTTCTCCTCTGCTATGCACTCTTGATATTCACAGCCTTACTGAGATGCGTTCCATTATTGATCCTCACATCTGAAGTTCTCAACACACGGGACTCTACCCAGCAGACGGCTTGGTCTACTTTCCTTTTATGACCCTACCAGAACCTCCACTAGACTAAAACTTATTTATCCGGGAATATTGAACTATAAGGAATATTACTGGGTTGTGTATTAAGGTCTATATACCAAAGATAGAGAGAATATATTTTTCACCCTCAAGGTAAGGGTTGCCTTTGAAAGTCTGGCGCGATACACACATTATTGGAACCGAGGCCTGCCATTGACCGAGAGGGTGACGCGCTCAGCCAATCACCGCACACAACCCATAGCGACTGGCAACGAGTCCGTTTGTTGCCACATTCACGTTTAATATATAAGAATTCTTTAACTTTACAGCCTGTTACATAATATTTATCTAGCAAAGTTATAAAAATTATAGCTGCGTGTTGATATTTGCCAATTTGATCATCCATAAATGTTGAAATTTACTTTTCTTTGCCTCATTTTCTTAAATTTTCCTTATATATGAAGAAGGTGATCTCTGGGTATGACGTCATTAACAACTGAGGATCGATGAGCGCACACATTTAATGAATGAACGTACTCTTAGTGTAGTAGTCTACCTGATATCCATGATACTTCTAAGGTTTTTTCAAATATATTCCAAATAAGCTTGGGTCATAAATTTCTCATAAAAAGATCCTATATGAATATCAGCTGAATTCCAGCTTCTACCAATGTTTTTGTATTCCACGTCCGAATCCGTATGTCTACTTCCTTATTTTACCTGTCTTGTCTAGTGACCTTAATGTATAAAGATCAAGAAAGGTTAAAATGTTATTTGCTGATGATATGCAAAGCATTAAATGTTGCACACCTTACACGCTGACGAAAATGATGTACCAATACTGAAACTGGTACCCCTACAGTAGTCATATTGGTTAAATTTTTGATAAGCATTATTTTTTCATACATTCCTCTAAGGCTGATTTTCCCGACAAGTCTAAATTATAAGGGACCTACTTTACACTAGACAACAAATTGAAATGTACAAGATTTCAGAAAAGTTATTAGAAACTTCAAAATTAGCTGTATAAACCACTGATCCATCTTTGAAGAGTCTCAAGTAACCTATCAAGTTAAAATCTTCCCCACTCCTTCCACCACACGACCAAGAGCCGCTGTCTCCGTACTCACCTCAAAAGAATTTATTGATTTCTCTCACAGTACAGTATTACCCTTTTCAGCATTTTTAGTAGCAGAGCAGACAGTAACAGAGCAGACAGCAACAGAGCAGACAGTAACAGAGCAGACAGCAACAGAGCAGACAGTAACAGAGCAGACAGTAACAGAGCAGACAGTAACAGAGCAGACAGTAACAACAGAGCAGACAGTAACAGAGCAGACAGCAACAGAGCAGACAGTAACAGAGCAGACAGTAACAGAGCAGACAGTAACAGAGCAGACAGTAACAGAGCAGACAGTAACAGAGCAGACAGTAACAGAGCAGACAGTAACAGAGCAGACAGCAACAGAGCAGACAGCAGCAGAGCGATATATTTGGTTATATCGACTTTAAGTATTCAGTATCAATGTAATCATATACTCAGTACTGATATACAGAGACTAGTGTACATATTACTCTAGAATATATCCTTAATGACCTTAGCTATTAGACTACACTACAATACGTTAGAAAAACAACTAACGAGAGACCAAACTGTACATGATTTATATACCATCAAGTTTAATCAGTCATCGTCAACGGATAAACAATAACAGTCTCAATAACAAACACACAAACGCTTGATTAACTTCACTACAGTTCCTGTGTTCTATAGCGGCAAGCACCAACTGAAGACTTGAGTTCATTCAGTCGTGACGTGTTTGAGGTTGGTGTTGACTGATACTAGAGTAAAAATATGCGTGGGTGTTACAAGCATTGGGTGAGCCTGTCCTGGTACGGATATTCTTCAGGAAAATCAGTAAGAAAGCTTGAAAATTAGTAAAATGTTAAACAAAATAAATAAAATATCTCCTGAAGATTAGACATCCCAGGTTATTTCACTTAAAAGATTAACGTCCTAACGCTATCTGGGGTTAGGTTAGCGTTAGGTTGACTTAGCGTTTGGATGATTAAGCTTAGGATGAAATAAGCTGGGGTATCTACTCTCGAAGTGATCTAGTTCTGTTGAGTAAAGGAAAAACACTAATAATGATAAAGCTGTTTATATAATGTATTACTACACTTCAACAACTAATGTTCTTTAAAAGGCTTATTCTTGACTAGTAAAATACAATAGACATTAACAAATATGAAGTATGACAGATACATCACCCACAGGGAGTGACTAGAGACATGCAGGAGGAGGGGGTGGGGTGGGTGGGGATGTTACAGTTACTGATATTGGAAGGGTAACTGAAAATATAACTGAAGGAGAATATTAAGCGTTGCCAGGGTGGATACATCGCTGAAATCGCTTGTGGGAGGATGATAGATACTCAGTAAAGTTGAGCTATAAGTTTATATTAATTTAATTTGTTCATAGACAATATAAGTATACATTGTAACACACAAGAAAAAAGTGTCTTTACGGAGGGGTCCAATGAATTTCAAAACAAACACTGGATTCCTGTTGTTTCAGTGTAGGGCTGTCCAAATCCTTCGTCCGTTCTGTCACATTTTCTAACAAAATCGTAAATATATTCTTTTTGGAGTGTGTTCATGGACAGTCTGGGAATACAAGCAACTGCACACATAAACATTAAAGGCATAAAATGTCCACAGGCGATGCAAGTGTACAATGTATATAGACGGTGACAGGTATACAATGTACATACAGAATGCAGGTATACAACCTATGATAAGCATTTTGTCGAAGGATAGCCTTATTTCCACCTTTTTTTTTGCCAGTTGGGAACACTGCGAATACAATGCAGAAAGTGATGGCGCGACGCAGACACAGTGGATGGGGCAAACACGCCTATGTCTGTGTGTAATAACCTAATATGCCCAAGTACTCGTATATGGACTCACTATGTCTAAGGCGGCATCACACTTGCACTTTTTGCGTCAATTCCCCAACTTGCTGTCGTTTTTCCTCGCGTTGTCATTTTCCTGGAGTGTATCCGCTCAGACAGAACGTATCGTTGATTCGTTTCCGCCTTATTAACTTGAGCCAGTTTCCGTGGTCAAGTAAAGATCGATATTTAGGATATTCATATAACATAATATATCGAGCCACGTAAAATAACTCAATTCAATTTTGAAAGTGCTCAGCATTACAATTTTAATAAACTGCTTGAGTACATTTTCAGTAAACTGCTTAAGTACGTAATTTTGTTAATGTTGGTTTTCCTAAACATATGTTTGTGTATATCAGAAGCCCCTGGCCGGGGTTTCAAGTGTATGGACCCACTATGTCGAAGTGTATGTAAATTACCGTAAATTAAAGCTGTCCCAATTGTTTAAGACAAAGAGTGCTGAATTACTGAGCAAATAGTCGAATACACTGTGCAAATAACGTTGAATAAACAGTGAAAAATATCCGTCGGAATAATGTTCAGTTCGCTGCCCAAATGGCCCGCGGCACAAGGAAGTGGGAAGCATTTCTCTCCTCCCTAATTTCATGTTAAAGTTTAAATTCCCCTCATCGTGTTTACTTTAAAGGGAACCAACATAGCTCATCTTACACCTCTGAACTTATTTATTAATATCTTCTGGCAGGGTTGGGGTGTCCTGCAGGTGGCTCCATCACCCCGTGTCCTAATTCAGCACCTCGGACCCCCTGCATGAAATCGTGGTTCCTCCCTTGCTGACACAGTACAACATGCGCTGACAATATCAACTGATTTTCACTGGCATTCTAGCAGGAAATTATTCACTTGGTTTCACTTAACCTGATGAGTTTATTACGTGCGATTTCTTGCTAAGTTAGCTCATATATAGATAAACAGTTTTTCATATAATGCGTGTAATGTTTACAATAAGAGAAACCATTTTAGTCAACGATTATGTCGGCAACTTGTCCTAAACACATGTATAGAAAATCGTATAGTTTGTTCCACGAATCGTACGGTAATAGTAGTAATTGTAGTCATCAGGGGCAGTACAGCACGGTAATTGGAGGTCCGTGTTAGTAAGTACCTAGAGCGGTAAGCCAGCCTGCACGCAGTGTTACCATGGTACTCATACCGTAAAGCAGTTGTGTGCTTTTATTGTTAATATTTCTGTCATCTAAAGAGGTTTTTTATTGGTATTACTGTAATAGCGTGGGTATATAAGAACAATTATTGACTTGATGAAAGACAACTAGAAACCTATTACTCTCGTATTCCCTGATGTTGACAAAGTGGCGCTACTGACTACAACAGCGTACAGAAGATATTAAGAGTGTTAGAAATTCCTCAGAACTGGTGATTCGAATTATGTACGTAAAAATGATACAGGATAGATTAAAACAAGACTATAAATCTGCACAGAGTGAGTCTCTCTTTCATAATTTTTAATTGTTGATGAACTAATGTAATTACTAACCTTGTTCCGAGCTTAAAGGCTTAGCTGGTGAAGCGCTGTATAGTAACATTATAACGTCAATGTCTTTGTCTGTGTAAAATACTATTCACAAACTATCTAGGCGTAAGTACAAATAAATTACTCTTGACAATGTAACCTTTCTGCAATAAAAACACAAAACAAAAAACACCAAGGAGCAAAAACATATGTAAATTACTCTTGACAAAATAAACTCCCTGGGTGAAAAACATAAAAAGGAAAATAAGGAAATAAGAAAACCCCCAAATTAGAATAAATACAAATTTAATTAAATGAAAGAGCAACATTAGCGGGCGTCATGGAGGGAAACGACCAATCAGCGAATATTATACCCGCATACGCGTTGATCCTGTGTGGTCGAGACTTGGCCAGGTGCTTTCAGTAACTGTAATGTCACTAAATTGTGGGTAATTGAACAACTGTATTACCCTATGAACAACGGTGCATAACGCAAGTTGATATTTATGTGATTTTATTCATAAATTTTATTATAATGTATGATTCGGTTTTTTATTTGTTAGTTTTTATTTTATTTTTAATGATTAAAACCAGGACGTGTCTTAGCCAGCCTACTAGAATTCATGGGTTTCCTATATTCAGTACTCCATTTTCCTCATAATTATCTAAC